GGTCGCGCCGCCGTGTACCACAGTCCTGAAGTGATGATAACCGTGGGCGAGCAGGTCGACCTGTTCGAGAGTATGGTCAAAAGCGGAACTATCTCAAAAAATAGAGTTACCCACTCTGTCGCACTCCTCGCCATCTCAGGCAACGACTACAAGACCTATTACGACGCCGGCATACTCGACGTGAGTACCAAGTAGGAGGAATTAACACATTAAAATTGATCAATTCACACATTTGTCTATAGCTTACCAAGTTTTGGTGTAGCTGACCCCTGTGATCGAGGGCTTGGGGAACCAGACCGTGGCCATTGTGGACCGGCTGCGAGCCCTTGGAGTGAAGAGGATTCTGGTGAACAACCTACACCCTATTGGTTGCACGCCATTGTGGTCCAGGGCGAGCAAGTACAAAGAGTGCGATTACATAGGCAACAATGCTGCATTGCAGCACAACAAAATCCTGAAACAAAAGCTAGGCAGGAAGAAAGGTGTCCTCATAGTCGATCTGAACACCGCATTTGGTAACATCATTGACCATGGTACGTCCATTTGTGTGAGCATATTATGATGAGAAAGATTGGATCAACACTACATATTGATCAGATTGTTTGCTCTGTTTTTCCTTTTGTTGCTCTATATGACTTATTAATCTCTACCTGAAGGTTCAAAGTCGTACAAGCAGTTCAAGAATACGCGGAAGCCGTGCTGCGAGGGCTATAGAGCTAACAACTACTGTGGACGGCAGGCCAAGGACTATCCGCCCCTTTACTCCCTATGCCCGGACCGTAGCCAATTCTTCTTCTGGGACGATGCACACCCCACACATGCTGGCTGGGAGACCGTCATGAAGCAGCTGGAACATCCCATCAAAAAGTTCTTGGGGATCGTCTAGCAATTTCACCTTTAGTGTTCAAAAATGATGAAGCGATATGCATAGGCTGGGGATCTCTCAAAATTGGGAAGTTAAACCCAACAGTAGATTAGTGTGACATGGTCTGTATTCTGTAGAATGCAACTTGGAGCACCCGTACCTCCATAAATCTATCTATTATCAGCATCATCTGAGAAGAAGAATTTGTTATCTTAATCCTCAAAAAATTATATCTATAAAGTGTTATAAAGTGTAGCTAAATCTCAGTCGACTGAGACTTGGTTATGTCTAAGTAGGTGCTATAATCGTGAGATTTTGCATGAAAATTCATGCAATTCCTTTTAGTTTTTTCTTTCTCATATATGATGTCACTTTGATTTAGACTTGATTAAATCTCACCCGACTGAGGCCTATTCACACCCATTATATATTATTAGTTGAATGTCACTACTTTTAAAGTGATGATGTTTGTGGGTAATGGCAACCAACAAAGGTAGCCCATAATTTTTTAGAAAAGAAGGATGACCCCCGGCCTCTGCATCTGGAAGATGCATACGGCCACTTTATTAACTATTCTCGAAGACCTTACAAATTATTACAAACAATATTTCTGAATCCACCATTGTCGGAGTAATTGACCACGGGTACTCCGAGGACGGCAAGACGATATTTCAAGACATCGGGGCTAGCAAAGCCCCTCAGTCCGACTGTCCGGCCGCTCCTGCCGGCTTCTCGTCCGACTGCTCTGCGGGCTGCCGACTGCGCCAACCAGCCGGCTGCCGACTACGCCAACCAGCCGGCTGCCGACTGCAACCCGACCCGACACCGACAAGACCCTGACGTGGCGTCCATACCGCGGACGGGACGGCTGTACCTCATGTCATCATGTATAGTGTCACTTGTCCCCTGGCACTATTTATGAAGTGACCCAGGGGACAAGCATGACACCCCATCATGCCCCCTTGTTCCCATGCTACTACCTAGCTTACTTCCTAAGCTACCCACATAGCTTACATATCAAGCTAGCTCCACACTATATATATGGGCTCACATCCATCCATCCGGGGAGGATGAATTCCCTCACGCATGCATACATGCCACTCACGGTGGAGTACTCTCATGCCCACTTGCTAGCTAGCTAGCTCATACACCCATATAAGACATATGTAAAGCCAGATGCCTATGGCACTGAGCTCAGATACAGCTCCAGGAGCAACTCTGTACCAGATAGATATACCAGATATACTCAGACATGCAGGAGTAGGGGTGTTATCTCTCCGGAGAGCCCCGAACCTGGGTAAACTAGCGCGTGCTACTCGCATACCCGCTCCCGGTCCTATCAGCAGCAGTCTTACCCTCACACTAAGCCCTTGTGGCATCTGTCGAGTCGCAAGCCCCCCGTGAGAATACCACGACAACCATCTCGGCAACATATGCCGCTACTCTTATCCATATGATGAAGGGATGCTAGTTGGGCCACTATCCAAACCACTCACCTAAACCTAACATCAAAAGCCGGAAGCCCCAGCCGAGCCACATACCGGGTCTGGGGCACAATCCGGTCAGGCACACTCTTGTGTCGTCGCAGCCATCTTCCACAGGTCCGTCTTCAGAATATATTGAGTCTTCTACCTTGTGTAGGCCACTCCGCCATCGACGTCACCATGACGCCAGACAGCTACCTCCTCCTGCGCGAGTCCATCTCCGCGCATCGGGCGGCGCGCCTCCACAGCGCCATGCCGCCGACCTTCGCCATCAATGAGTGAGATGAAGTACCGCTCCACCACGGCATGTACTGATACAAAGCGCTAGACAGAACAGTTCAAAGGCAACAGTAGCTGCGAAGCAGCGCTAATGCCATCACCCTACATACGGCGTAGGACGAAAGCCGTTGGAGCAGCCGCAAGTGAACAAGGCCAGCACAAGCCGCCAGCCACCACCACCAGAACCACCACTGCACACCCGCCACCACTGCTATCCCCGGACGACGCCTCCAAGAAGGAATACAACGTCGCAACGCCGTTGCCGCCCAACCAGGGGACCAAGGTCTTCACCACTAAGCAGGGGGCAGGAAGAGGAGGAGGGGAACCTCACCGAAGCCTCCAAGGAGGGGATCGGCGCCAAAGGCGTCAACTTCGCTGTGGCCGCCGCGCTGGCCAAGGGGTTACCCAGGTTCCAACTCACAACCTCGAACTCCCAACCACCCGAGCCGAAGGACAGCACCAAGAGGGACGCCGGCCACCGGAATCAGAAGGGGATCGAGCAGATCGGGCAAGATGAGGCGGGCCTTCTCCACAAGACGCCGATGCGGTCCGCGAGGAGACCACCGTGTCGCGACCCACGCCCGCTGCCCCCTTGCTACCCACGCAGCCAAGAGGACAGCTATCCAGCGCCCACCGGCGCCACCTGCCGAGGGATCCACGCCGGGCACACCATCCGGGGCCGCCGCCCCGGTGCCCTAGGCCCTCCACGCGATGCAGAGCAGCCAGATCCCCGCCGCCACCATCATAGATGACGCGCACGCGAGCCGGGGGGGGGCGCACCTCAGGCGGCGGCGGAGTGGAAGGAGGAGTGGGGAAGGGGGGTGGCGGCGCTAGGGTTGGGAACCCTCGAGTCGCCTCAGAGAGATGACGCGAGGGTCGGGAGCCTACCTAGTTCTGCGACCGTGCTGCGTCTGCTATGCAAGCATGGCGTAAATGTTTTCTTAAGGCTCAGATAGAAACTCTTTTCTGATGATAACTATGAGTAGTGTCTAACAATCGGTTTTTCATTTGGTTATCAGTTGAATTTTTGTCCAGTGGTGCTTTTGTCATCTGTCCATGGTCGCTGAATGCATAGGTCCTGGAGTCTCGGCCGATTTGGTCCACATCGACATTCCATCTTTGCTTCCAGATCTATGTTCGACGCTCGCCCTACCATGTCAGCATCTCTGACAAGGAGGACCAAGGAAGCCAAGACAGCCCAGGAGCATCTCGGCTGATGAGCAAGGTTGTTAAAATCGAGATACTATCATACAACTCTACGATTTTTACAATCCAAACTAGTAACCCCTCTGATACGTTCATTCATTAAATCTAAATTTCTATCATCTTAGTAGTTACAATTCTATTATTCGTGATCCTACCATCAGAACTTCGATCCGATTCAGAATCACAATTTGCTCGTGAGAGCTAGGCGGGCCAACCCACATTACAACGACCGAGAGTGTACTGGTGCAGTGGACACAGTGAACCGCTCCTGTACTTAACTGCGAGCCCGAGAGAGAAAATGGTATCCAGTGGATCACAGGGCAACGGCACCCAACGACTCTCACGTACCCCTGTTTCCCCTTAACAGCTAGCGCTACCAAATTATTGTAATCGATACATTGTACCTGTAGCTACTAAATATTGTGAGGGATTGTGTGATCCGGTGAGGTGCTCACATGTGGTATCGGACACCCGCCATCACTCTTCCCGGTCGCGCGATCTAGCACAATTCGTCGAAACCAGGCGTCTCCGGCACGTCTACAAATCGAGGTTATGGATCCAACGATAAAGGAGTACATGGAGAGGATCACATCCTCCATGGACGCATTCCTCCTCCATCTACGCAACTACATGGCAGCGGTGCACATGAAGTCCCTCAAGCTTGATAATCTGGTCGTCAGGTGACCCGACCTACAGTGCCGCGTGGCGGAGCTGGGTAGCGCGGTAACAGATCTTCAACAAGGATGTGCGCCTGCGGTGGTGGTGTCGGTGCGGCAGCGTCAGGGCCCTCTAACAATGAGCCCGTCCTTTCGGTGGCTGGTGATCTACCCGATGCTGATGCCAACGCAAAGGAGCTACCCCATGGCTCCGATGGCCATGGTGATGCATTCTTACACCGGGGGAAAACGCCGGTGGCCACACCGATGCCTCTCCCGGGCACTGGTCAATTCAATTTCTAGTCTCCTATTTTCTGTTGCAGTTCCTTCCCCTCCGCCCATGCTAGTCAATTGCTTGCTGGTTTGGGGCAAGCTCATCCATCGATCCGTTTTCCCCAATTCTCCGGTGTAAAACCCAAGCTGTGGAAAACATTGTACGAGCAGTATTTTAATATATTTGGGATACACAATTCATTTTGGATGCCCATGGCTGCGCTGAATTTTGCCACTTCTGCATTTGTTTGGCTGCAATCGGTTCAACACAAGTTGTCTGAATTCGATTGGTAATAGTTCACTATAGTTCTTTGTATACGTTTTGGGCGGGATAAAGAATCGGTTGCTTATTCATTAGTTTTATATTGTCTGTCAAACTACTTCAACTGCAGATTACATCAAACGATTTGAGAAAATTGTTAGTCATCGTGCATCTTATTCCTATTCCATTCACCCTTACTATTATTTGACTCGTTTTGTCGAGGGGCTCCACGCTGACTTTTGAGCGGTGGTGCTCATACAACGCCCACCTGATTTGGACATGTCGTGTTCCCAGCCTTGCTCCCGCAGGAGGTTGTGGCCGAGGCGTACCCAGCACATCAGTTGCAACCTATGCCAAGGGCGGTGGACACAGAGTCTTGTCCATGTGTGCCGCTTCCCCTACCGCCACCACAACCGCCTCGGGCAGCGCCTAATCTAGCACCTACAACTGCAACTGATCGTCGAGGCATTGAGGGCGCTCGTGCAGATCACGCCAAGGTCAAGGCGCTCCAGGAATATCATCGCGCACGTAGAGTATGCTTCAAATGTAGCGAACACTAGGGACGTGATCACGCGTGCGGCGTGCCGACCACTGTACAGATCCCCCTAAATTAAAAAATTGAAATTTATTTTATGCAATAAACTCAATTTGCTCAGTAATAATAATTCCCTAAATTTATATTGCGGTTTATTAGGTGTCCAAAATATTTTTTAAACTCCAAAAAAATATTCAAAATATTTCCCAATTATTTAATTTTAAAGAAGTCATATTATCTTCTCTCTTTTGTTTTCTTTTTAAATGGGAAATGGTTTGAATATTTTAAATCCAAATAAACTTTCAAATACAACCAAATTTAAAACA